CATCTTATCTGTTCAGGTTGGAATTTCTTTTGATCACCTTTATGGCTCTCTCTCAGTTGTCCTGGCCAGAGATGTTTTATTACCCCTTATGGCTCTCCAACCTGCTCAAGTTAGGACTGTTTTTGCTCTACCTTTTAATTGCTTTAATTGTTCGGGCCAAAGATACCTCTGTCCTTCACATATGCATTCCTCCCCCATGGATCCTCTTTATTCCCTAAACCTGCCTGTTTTGTCCCTAGAATTCCTTTCAGTCCTCCCTTCGGTTAGGAAATGCCAACTGCTGTTACAGACAAGAGCATTGAACTTTCAAAAGAAAAAGCTACTGTGAAAAAAAGAATAAGAGAGCACTTTTAAGATACCTATAAATCTGCCTTCAAGTTTATGTAATGCTGATAATTTCAAAGATCTGGAAAAAATAGCATAAATGATCTTCATTTTTACTATACTTTTCAGGTTCAGTAAAGAACTATGACATTAAATGAATCCTCAGAAATAAGCTAAGTAAGAATTAGTATCTCTAATATATAGATAAGTTTTATAAATAGATTTAGATAAATTGATTATATGCATATGACTAAATAATTGAAATTAGCTATTCTTATCAGTTGTCTCTTACTTTATACAATATCTAAGAATGTCTTAATTTTTCCTGTCTCACATAAATTTAAACAGTAATGCTAGGTGTACAGGAAAAAATGCAGACCTTAATGTTATAAAACTTAAATGGTTTCATTGTTGAAATTATAATCATCTTTATGAGATTATCATTACTTATATCAGTTTAACTTCAACAGCAAGTCTATCATTACCTTGATATTAGAGTTTTGGTGAGGAAAATAACAGAACACAGAATGTATTTTAAAAACATGATCTTTTGGGGAAGGACATTTTAATTTTCTAAGCACCAGGAGTCAAGAGTACTTTGAAAAGTTTTAGGTGGTTTTCATAAAGCCAATTTCTTGTCCTACACTCTCCCTGCTGAAAATTAATGGAGAAGCCACAAATGGAAAGTCCACAGTAATTTCCTTTTACAGATTAAGACAAGAAGTGCATGGAAATAGCTAATATTAGCTTGTCTTCCTGCAGGGGTGAGTCTGTGCAGAATCACTCCATGAGTAATGGGTGACAACCTTAGTGGCTCTGTAGACAAAGGAAATCACCTTTAAAGAACAGACTTCCCCACTCTGAAGACCTACATGAGAAAGTCATTTTTCGCAAGCTTCTCTCAGCCCACTCCCCCTTTGTTTTTTCTTAAAACACACACACACACACACACACACACACACACACACACACACACAAATGACTCTGCCTACAAGTATTATATTGTAAACCAAATGGATCACTAAGCTTTCAACCCGTGGCTTCCACAGCTTTGTCATCCAGGATGCTGATGTTTCTACAATTCACTAACATGACAAGAACAAGACATGCTCCTTCCGGCATCCTTCCTTTGGGGAGAGAGGGGGGGAAAAGAAAATCTGAAAGCTGTATTTTATTAGTAAATATTGCCAACAAAATCAATCTATTTGGTGAATCCCTTCCCCACCCCACCCCAAGGCTGCACAATCATCCTGGTATTGCAATGCATTGTCTGTTCTAGAAGGGGTAAGAAGCAAGACACAAAAGTTAGTATCTGATTCATCCCATGATGTTGAAAGGAAGCTCAAGTGGTGAGATAAAACTCTCATGCTACTATTTGGAACAATAATCTACCAGGACCCAGACTCATATCTCTGCCTCCATCTGTTTTCCTGTCTCTGCAAAATTAAAAAAAGAAAGGCATTTATTTACAGATTCCTTGGTAACATTCTTATTATTTCTACATCCTGCTTAATCATGTTATATCCCTGTGTTTGAAGAATATCCACCCACAGAAAACAAAAATTAGATTTTTTTTCTCCTAAGTCAAATAAAAGAAGTAAACCCCTATGGACCTAGGACTTGTGTTGTTATATTTCTGCCTCAGGCATCTATAATAAAATATTGAAAATGCTTAGTAGAGGTTTTAGCTCATAGGAAGACCTGAAGCACAATTTTTATTCTGGCACAAGGACTATTTCCTAGAGACAAAGGAAAGGAATTGTGAAATAAGACTTTCTTCACTAAGGCAGTATGCAATGAGTAATGGACAACCTTTTTCACTCAATTATTTATGTTCTGCATAACAAACCTGCATGTAATTATTTGAGAGACAGAAATATGTCATGTTTTTAAATGCCCTCAGGTAGAAACTACATCTCTTTATGATGCATTTTATAGGATACTGACAATTGCAAGTCAACTTTTCATGCAACGCGAGAACCCCTTTCACAACATCACTGCCAAGTAATTGTCTAGTGTCCACCTTTATATGTTAACAAAACCTTACTAAACACTAAAGTAAGTAGTATGCTAAGTACACGCAAACATTAAAAATACAAAGCAAATACATAAATCGTGCCCTCAATATTCTCACAGTCTAGATAAAAAGAGATACATGTAATCAATAATAATAGTGCTAAGAAAAAAGTACAAGGTAATAATTCTGAGTGATTGGATGGTAGAAAGAATCACAGAAAAAGTTAATAAAAGAATGAGATGAAAGGACATTCTAAGCAAAAAAAAAATACATTGAGAAATGTGAAATTTTGGGTATATTAAATTCATGGAGAAACATTTCTTGCATCTAGAGCTACATTGCCTACTATGGTAGCCACTGTAACATGGCTGTTAAACACGTGAAGGTGATTCCAATTAAAATGTGCTTCAAGGGTAAAATATACACTAGATCTAAAAGACTATAAAATGTGTTATTAATGTATTGCTCCAAAACAATTTACCCTAAAAATTCAGTAGTTTAAAACATTAATAATTATCTCAAGTTTTGGTGGGTCGGAAAATTGAGTCTTGCTCAGGAGCTCTCCTGAGTTTACAGAAGAGATGTCAGTCAGGGCTGCAGACATATGAAGGCTTGAGTTAGGCTGAAAGATTCACTCTGCAGGGTATCACTCACATTCCTCTTGGCAGGAGACCTCAGTTCCTTGTTGGCTCTTGTTGGTCAGAGACCTTAATTTCTTGCCACATCAACCAACACCATAAGTAAAGAATCCTCGTGATATGATAGCTGGCTTCCCACAGAGTGGGTGAAAAGGCAAGGAGGAAGCTGTAATGCCTTTTAATGATTTAGTCTGCAAAGTCAAACAATATCATCTCTACTTTAACCATTAGAAACTGTTCATTAAGTCTAGTTCACACTCAAAGAAAGAGGAATTTGGCTTTACCTCTTGAAGGGAAAAGATATGTTAAATATAGTTCACCCTTAGGTTACTAATTATTTCTATTCTTTGCAAAACATTGTACCCTTCCCCAAATCTCCCCAAAGTTTCATCCCGTCACAATATTGGCTTGAAGTTCAGAACTTTGTCATATAGATCAAGTGTAGGTGTTAGTGTAGGTAGCTAGATATTAATAAAGGAAGGGCACAAAATAAATCAGACATTAAGAAGCCTAATAAACCAGGGAGCTGAACTGAATAATAAGCCTACTTACTTCACTGGGGTTTCACACACTCTCCAGGGTACAATGGTCCACTTGCCTAGACTGGGAGGGCTAAGGGGGGGAAGGAATAAACAGTAAAGGGAAATTCTGCTGCTAGGCACATGCCCAGTAGAAGCCAAGATGGCACAGGGGAGGTGCTTCTACCATGAGGCATGCCCAGTAGAAATTAAAATGATGACAAAGAAGGCTTGTCTATCTAACTGGGAAAAGGATTGGATTGGATAAACCCCAGGTTGGTTAGGACTGTGCTCAGCAAACTGCGGCTTGTGAGCCACATGCGGTTCTTTGGCCCCTTGAGTGTGGCTCTTCCACAAAATACCACAGCCTGGGCATGTCTATTTTGAAGAAGTGGTGTTAGAAGTTTAAGTTTAAAAAATTTGGCTCTCAAAAGAAGTTTCAATCATTGTTCTGTTGATATTTGGCTCTCAAAAGAAGTTTCAATCGTTGTACTGTTGATATTTGGCTCTGTTGACTAATGAGTTTGCCAACCACTGGGTTAGGAGAAGGAACCATAATAAGACCACAGAAGATTGGGAAATTGATTGGTTAGGTGTGAAAGCGTTCCTGGTCCTCCCCAAGCCAGAGATAATATAAACCAAACTAACAAAGGGTTCTTCTCTCACACTCCTTCTCACCCCAGTTCACACATTTTCTCTTCATACCAGCCATGTGGGTCTAGAAGTTTTGTGGGACTGTATTCCAAACGTGGGCCTGGGCACAGCACTAGCCAGAGCGCTACTCAGGAACAGAAATTAAGCTAGTTGAATGAGGACAGACATAGACTGACCAATGGCGCAAAACATCTGGACACTGGCCCTATTTCTAGGCCTGATGAAGACAAGATGGAATTTTTCCCATGGTGGTACAGACGGAGATGATACATTGGGGACTGGAGGCAAGCTTCTATAATAGTTCCATCCAAATAAATCTTACAACTAGACCACAGCCTCCCATATGTGGGTCCCTGGAATGCTTTCCTTGTGACTCTGTGAAAGAGCCTAATTTCCACCAGCAACAAAGGTTCCTTATATTATATATAAGGAACTATGTGGGTATAGTTCTTTATATATAATTCTCAAGTATAGTTATGTTATCATCGTAATTAGCTAGTTATTAATATTAATAATAAGAGGAGAGTAAGGCGGGGGGGGGGTGGACATTATAAGAATAGTCATCTGGGGTAACTTCATCAGGAAGTTAGAGCTTCACACTCCCCAGGAAACCACTGATCCGTTCTCTGCAGATCACTGAGGGAATGGATCACTGAGGGTGTGGCAGGGCCAGCGGACCTCAGGACCAACCAAGGGGGAGATGGTTCATGTGCAGTGAAGTTGGGATGACATAGGAAGGTGCTTTCCTGTCAGTCTAGCCTGGGGAACAGTGGACTGGATAGGAGCATGAAGCCACTGCAAGCACATGAAATCTTAGAAAGTTAAAATCTCCAGACAAAGAGCTTCCTAGCCTCCTTGTCTCTTTTGCTCAGTGACTTATACTCACCACTGTGCTCAACCTGTTCTTTCTCCATAGCCATTGGGTCTTAAGCAGTTGGACATGCAAACCTCACACACAATGTATTGCAGCTTGGAGCACAAGCTAAGCTGGCCAGATGTAGAAATGGACTGGACTTTAATATGAAACAGAAATTCTAGGCAATAACCTTAATTCTGGCCTTGTTGAAGACAATATTGGACTTCTTCCATGGTGAGACAGAGTTGGGCTTTGGAGGAGAACCCCTTTAATTTCACATTATCAATAAAGCTTCCCATGATACCCCATCCATCCATGGGAGCCTCAGGAAATTATTTTTCTCACAGCACCCCAAGAACTCCACTTTCACCGAAAACAGTTCCACTTTATCAGAAGATCTGTAAACTAAAGACACAATGTATACCTTACACACACACATAACACACAATGGTGCTACAGGCATAATTTAACCATTACAGATATCTCTGTTTCCAAAGGGGGAAAGAGAAGAAGCACAAAGAACTTTTAGTCCAAACATTTTTAAAATTAAACCAGGCAAAGGTGGGTATGTCCTGAGTCAGTCCCCTTCCTTTTTAGGACTCATTGTCCATGACTTTTAGTCCCACTCTCTGGACTCTTGGTTCTACCCTCTGACTCATCCTTCCTTTTCTGAGGAAGAAGCCTGAGCTTGCAGCTGTAGTTTTCTCAGTCTCTTTCCTGCCTATGGAATTCTGATGACTAAAAGGTTTCTTTTCATTTTGTATTCTCTTATATTTTTCTGCCTAAGCTGGCACTGTTTCTGTGAGTATAATCTTAATACTTTCTGGATCTCTTCAGATTCTTATTAGCATTCATTCTATTAGACAGAAGTCACACCCACAATTCCCTTTGAGATGAGTCCTAATCTACCCTGATTTTCTCCCGAGAAGGCAAGGAAGAAGACCCTTACCCATTTAGAAGCCTTACTGTTGTAAGGAAGTATGACTTTTGCCTGATTGAACTCTACTGCACTCTGAAGTATTGTTATAGTAGGTATAACTTTTGCCTGATTGAACTTTACTGCACTCTGAAGTATTGCCTATGAGGTTTCTGAATTTTAACAAAAAATTGTACAGTCCCATCTTCAACTTCATCTTTGAAACATGTTTTCTGTCTGTTTTTTAAATATTTTTATTAATTTCAGAGTGGAAGTGAGAGGGAGAGAGAGATAGAAACATAAATGATGAGAAAGAACCATTGATTGGCTGCCTCCTGAATGCCCCACACTGGGGATTGAGCCCACAACTCAGGTATGTGCCCTGTCCAGGAATCAAACTATGACCTCCTAGTTCAAAGGTCAACACTCAACCACTGAGCTTTGCTGGCCAGACATCTTTGAACCATGTTTTCCTGGCAGTGCCACAGATTTTATTTTTGCTCATAAAACATTTAATTTTAACATCATTCACCACCTGAGTTCACTAGAAATTTTGAAAAGCATCAAGTTCTTACTCTTCTCTGTTTAACAGTCATTCCTTTAGTTTATTTCTCTCCTCTCTCATCCTATATAATAAAGAAGTAATATGCAAATTAATCCTTATGCCATCACAAGATGGCTGTGCCCACAGCAAAGGGATAGGGGGTGTTTCAAATAATAAAAGATCAGCAGGAACCTGAGGCTACATGGCACTGGGCCGGGGCAGGGGACCTGAGGCTGCACCACCCACCCAGTGGGGCTTGACAGGGAACCTCAAGGCATACCTCCCACCCTAGTGCTGGGCCTGGGGACCTGAGGCCATGCCTCCCGCCTGGTGGGGCTTGACAGGGGACCTCAAGGCACATCCCCAGTCCAGTGCCAGGCTGAGGAATCTCAGGCTGCACCCTCTGCCCCAGGCCAGGGGACCTGAGGCTGCACCCCTCACCCAGAGGGGCTTGACAGGGGTGGGGCCAGCCTGGTCTGGATCTCACCCAATGTGGGTGGGGCCGGCCGGATATGGGTCTCAAGCAATTTTGAGGAGCGCATGGGTAGGTGGAGATTGACTCTGGGTCCCAGACTCTGACAGGAGAAAGATTTTCATATACATTTTACTAATTTTCTTTCATCTCTGACATTTCTATTATAGAGAAAGGGCAAATAGCAATATTAAAATATTTCCTCTAATTAACTCCCTTTTAATGTACACAAATTTCATGCACCCGTCCACTAGTTTTTCTATAAGAAGCAAGAAGAATTCAGTTGGCATCTTCACCACTTTGCCTAAAAATTTCCTTAGCTAGCTCATCCAGTTCCTTGAACACATTTTCTAGATTCCAAGTCATTATAGGCAACAATGTTGCTGAACTTTTTGACACTACATAAGACTTTCCTGATTTTCTTTGAGTCTTCATTCACAGCTCCTCAAAAGCTATCGTGTTTCTAAAAAACAGGTTTTACAGGTTCTCTTACTTTTCAGTAATACGCTCCTTAAAGATCTACCCACTGCCTTGTTCCAAAGCCACTCCCACATTTTTGGGTTTTGTTACAACTACATCAGACTGGCAAGTATCCAAAACTGTATTATTTTAAAATGGTTGCACAACAAATTACCTCAAAATTTTTATCTTAAAACAATAAACATGTGTTATCTCACTCAATTTTTGAGGGCCAGGAATATAAAAATGGATTAGCTGAATTGTTCTGACTCAGGGTCTCTCATGAGTTTGCAGTAAAGATGTCAGGTGGGGTTGTTGTCATCTGAAAGTTTGACAATGGTTGGACAGTCTGCTCCGTGATGGATCATTTCTGTGGCCTCTGGCAGGATACCTCAATTCCTCTTTGGTTGTTGACAGAAAATCTCAATTCCTCTCTATGTAGACCTCTACCTGAGTGCCCTCACTACATGGCAGCTGGCTTCCCTTTTAATGAATCATTCAAGAGAGAGCAAGACAAAAAGAAGCCACAAAGCCTTTTATATACTAGCCTGAGAAGTGACATACATCTGCCATATTCTATTGGTCATACCAACTAACCCTGACACAGTCTGGAAGGCGATCACATAAGGGTAATCACGGAGCCTTGATCTTGGCAGAAATCAATAAGAGTCATCTCCATGCTAGCTATCACACAATTTTCTAATCATTAATTTTTATATTGATTATATGATGTGCACCATTTATCTCATTGACTTATCTAACAAAATATATTTAAATATAAACATAAACCAATATAAGTAGTTAATATGAATATAAAAAGTTACATATGTAAATTGTTATATACTATATGCAAAGTATATAAATCTAGCAGATAACTAAATATATCATTATTTATTTTTACTTTTAACTTAATGTGGCTACTAACTCATTCATAATTATATATCAGCTCATATTATATTTGTACTGGACAACAATGCCTTTGAGAATATATAAAAGAAGCAAAAAATAAGACTAGAGGAAAAAAGCAGAAGACAAATTGTGAATCCCCTCTTAAAGCATTTAAATCCTCTTCTCTAAGCAATAGACACCTTGAAGATTGGAGCAGGGAAGTGACATTATCAGAGATGTGTTTCAAGGTGATTACATCAAACAGCAGGGTGTTAGATGGATTAGCCCAGAGGAGACACTAAAGAAAGATCCAAGAGACAGTGACATGCACAAGTCTTAAGCCCAGAAAAAACACTGAGATTGAGAGAATAAAAAACTTGGGAGTTGCATCCTTAGCAAACATAGTTGAAGGTTTGCAAAGGATAAGCTCACTAAAGAGAACAGGGTGGATTCTTAAAAGAAAATGTTCATTTGGAAAGACTAATGGGTGAAGAAGAAGAAGGGAAAAAAATGAAAAAACAAAACAAACATACAAAAAACAATGGAAAAGAAGGAAGACCATCCAAAGGAGGAGGAGTGGTAAGAGAGGATAGTAAGTGCACTTTTCTGTCCTCTTCAGAACTGTAGTTGTGGATTCCAGATTTAGTTCTTGGGGCTCACAGAGGCTCTATAGGAGCAGAGGAGCATCCCACAGCAACCACTACATAGAACCGGTGTTTACTTCTCCACCCTGTAAACATTGCTTTTAGAACAGTACTGCTTTGTTACCTGCAGGTGGTTAACTCCTCCAGATGATCGAATTGGCAGAGCTCTGATTAAGATATCTTCTCTTTATCTTTTGCCAGCTCCTATCCTCAATCAGTTGTGGGAAGGAGGCAATTGTGGATAAGCAGTTCTGGTGTCATCCTGAGCTCTGGTCTACATGTTTATGATGTGCTGCTATAGAAGAGGGAGTGAAAAGAACAGCTGGCTTTATTCAGTTGAGATTGAAAAGGCTTTTAATGAAAAGTTTAAATTGCTCTTCCATCTTTGAAAAAAAATGCTTTGTCAGTAGCCCTACAAATGGTGTGAACTCAGTAGTGTTTTGCATTATGTAAAATATAATTCTTTAACTTTTAGGAAATATTTTCAAGTAACTTTTCCCCTTGTGCCAAACCTGTTTTTTGAAACTTTGTATCAGTTCCATGGTGAAATAAACCACCATTATCTAAAAGCCAATAAGATTTTGTAAAAGTGATGTTAACAAAATGATCACATTTACGGACAATAAAAAAAATTAGTACTACAAGTAAAGAGACCCAAAATAGCACAGACAAAAGTTTGACATTGAAATTGGGACTCAAAAGAACTTTTGGCCCAGAAAGGAACTCACTACAGACTGATTCATTTGCCTCGCAGCATAACCATTATGGCTTGTTGCAGTTTAGGTTCTTATAAGGGTATTTCTTGGATCACATGATCTCACACATCAAGAGAAAATAACGAACAACATAAACTGATGAACAAAAACAGACCCAGAGAAAGAGAAGCAGCGATCAGACTCTCAAACCTCAGAGGGAAAGTAAGGGAGGGTGGGGGTAAGAGGAAGAGATCAAAGAAAGGACTTGTGTGCATGCAAATGGGCCTAGCCAACTGCCAGGAACAACAGGAGGGTGGAGGCATATGTAGGGAAGGGTTTGGGATGGGAATGGGGGGATAAGGACAATTATGTGAGACCATAATCAATAAAATAAATTAAAAAAAAAAAAGAAATCAGTAACACACACGGAATGTTCTATGTTTTAGTTTGCTAATAACTAAACTTTAAAGCACTGTATGCTATGATAAAGGTTAAACTTGTAAATCAGACCTAGAGGGGAAAAAAGTTTCTGTTTTGATGCATTTTCTCTTTTCCTCTCTCTAGTAGGTTGAAAAGTATAATTGCCAACATTTTATTTTTACTGCCCACTAGAAATGGGAACAAGACCAACAATTCTCATAAGATCTAAACAGTCCTATTCATTACATTGCTAAGACTTGTTCAGTCTATTATATTTCATGATGAGTAAATGTTTATTCTCTCCATTAATATGTAATGTTTTTCTTGATCAAGTAATTTTTATAAGTTAAGTATGTCCTGAAAATTCCAAGAGTGATTCTGTGTAAAACAAAACAAAAACAAACAAACAAACAAACAAAAAACTATTCTGGATATGTAGCAAGGTAAAATGAATATCTTGTAAAGAAATGCCACAAGGTTCCTTTTCTAACAAATAGCCTTGCACATTGTATTTGGTGAATAGATAAATGAAAAAATAATACTAAAAGGGAAAGGAAGGAACCCCATGTAACTAGAAATAAGCTTGGAATTTTTATCTTGCTTTCTTGCTTGCTTCCTTTCATTTTTCAACAAATAATTATTAAACAATTATTTTATCCTCGACATGGTTATAGATGCTGGAAATACAAAGCTTAATTATAAAACAATTTTCTCTTTCAAAATGATTATATATATTTCATCAGGGGAAGCAGACATTTATATACAACTAACACAATCATTTAAACAAAGTGATATGTACTATAATAATAACATATCTCTGTAGCATATATATCTATATATTATAAACTGCAAATCATTTTCACATGTATTCTTTCATTTAATCCTCATAATAAGCTTGTTTTGTAGGTAAGTTATTATCTCTGATACCATCAACTAACAAAACAGGAAGCGGAGATACATAAGGGTAGTGCTCAATACTATACCCTAAAAAATACAATGGATCTTGCACAAAAAAGTAATTTTTTAAAGTGAAAATGATGTTTTTATAGAGAAACTGACATTGAAGCAAATTCCTCATGGACCAATAACATTCAACTCAGAAGGAAAGAACATTGCAGACAAAGTAAATATTCTTTGGGCAGACCTAATCAGCTTGGCTCAGTGGATAGAGCGCCAGACTGAACCAAATGGTCCTGGGCAGGTACCTCGCACCTACCTTGCAGGCAGTGCTTGTGCAGGAGGTAACAAATCAATGTGATATTTCTCTCTCTTTTTTCCCTCTCTCTTCCACTCTCTCTAAAAAGAAATCAATGAAAAATTATCCTTAGGTGAAGATTATAAATAATTAAACAAGTGGTATGTTTTTGTTTTGTCTTATTTTTAGACATTTCTTGGGTAAACCTGCTCCCACAAATGGAAGGTTCTAGGATCAGGAATTTTGTAGTTATGGGCAATGATGCTGGGAAGTAGAATATATTGCCTGTATGAGAGAGATGTCAGCTGTTATACATTGGGCTTTGTCCCAAAAAAATAAGGGAAGCCACTTAGAAGGTACTTGATTCTTTAAGCAAAAGAGTAAAACAATATAGAATTTGTGTTTTAAGGAGACAGCATTAGTGCAGGTATAAAGAATGAACTGGAGGTAGAGAAAGCAGTTAGTGACAACACAGTGAACCAATGGGAAAAAAGAAAAATTGGAACAAAGCAATAAAGATCTGAATAGAATTCAAAAATATTCTAAATAATTTTATTTTTAAGTAGGTAAAACCTTGAAGAATCTTTCTCATTCTTTAAGGCCAAGCGATCCAGGCAGATGTGAAAGAGGCAATTAGGCCTATTGTGTTGCAAATGCTTATTAAGTAAGAAGTTTAATGAGAGAAACCCTCCATATCCATTGCTTCAAGAGTCTGCCAGAAACTATGAGTGTCCCTGGCAAAAGGCAGGATCTAAAGATGTAACCAAATATCTCTTAACCTGTAAGGAAAATCCACAGCTGATTTCATTTTGTGTAAGGATATATTATAAGCTGCAATTATTACTACATTGCAAAGGGATTTTTGCATTCTGCATAGGCAGTCAGAGATGGCTTTTCTTCAAGGGGCATATCTTGTCATCACTTCGCAGCTCTTCAAATATGTCAGTGTTCTCTGTTACACTGGGCAACCTCTGTGTCCTTCGGCTAATAAAACAGCCATAAAGGGCAAGGTCCCAGAGCCAGTGTTCTTTCCTCAGGGAAGGAGCTAGCAGCTTAGCAGGCTATCGAACACTTGTTGGGACTCCTTTCCGCTAAAGAGCACTCTTACCCAAAAGCACTCAAAACATTTAGGCTTTCCTTAATAATACCAAGCATTTTTTGTAGCACTTTCTAATCATTAATTAGTTAATCTAAACACCATCCCTCTGAGATAGGTAAGGATAATTATCCTCATTTTACAGATGAGAAAACAACACCAAGAGCTTAAATGACTTTGATGAGGAAATTTAGAGAGCTGGGGAGGCAGAGGCAAGATGCAACTTTCAGACCTAGGAAAACAGCATGCTCTTGCCTTCCATGTGAAGCAAATACCATTCTAGGGTATTTATTCAATTCATATGATGTAATTGTTTTCCTTTTGATCTAGAGGACTTGGGGCCTTAAACCTAGTCCACTGAATCATTATTTAGTGATGAGTAGTGACTAACAGGCCAATATGGGTTGCTGTTGGCTGCCACCAGTGTTAAACTGGCTACAAATGGTGGGGGGAAATCATGTAACAGGATTCATAAAATAAGTATCAAAGAGAGTAACTTTGATACTGAGTTCAAGTGAAAATCATCTGTTAATTTAATGTCCCTATAATAAGAGAAATAACTCTCAGGGGTTAGAAAGCCAACCAAAGCATATATCAAAACATTAACTAA